GACTCTGGAAGGTGTGTGTGAATACTTTTGGAAATGAAGAGTGAAGAAAAGATAGTGAAAAATCGTTCTTTAGTAAACTTTAAAATAAAAAAAAATTAAATTATTAAAAAATAAATAAAAATATTAATTAAAAGATAAGTAAATATAGTAGCAGAAGTAAAGCTTTTTTAGCATAAAAAAAATTTAAATTTCTTCGAATATTTCAACTGTCACGTTTCAGACTTATTTTCGATTTTCTAATTTATATGTTTATTCAGTTCTACTTATTTGCGCTTAATTTCATTTTTATTTACATAAAATTCTTCTTCATTTATGTGCTTCGCGAATAGCTATTTGCTGTTCTTCTCTTCTTTTATTTACAACGTTCAACATTAAGTCGTTTCGTTTTTTATTACTACAACTTACATTTTTTGCTAAATTTCCCTTAAGCTTTATTGATTATTGACTTGATATCAGTTGATTTTTTAAGAGAGAGTTTTTTTTTCTTCTCACGTTTTCCTTTTCTATTTGCCTTCCTTTTCTATCTTCCTTCCTTTTTGTAATCCACATTTTGACATTCGAAACTCATTTCAATACTCCCAGCGGGATGGAGTATTACTTTACATTAATTTCATGGACTCTTAAGCACAAAATAAACAAACAACAAAAACAAATGAGAGCTGTTTAGTTCAGTGCACAAAGTGACGGAAGTGATAAATTTATATGAAAGGAGAATTTGAATACCATAAAATTTAAGCGAAAATGAAGTAAGAAGTCTCTTTAACAAACTGGTTAAAAATATATATATGTATGTATATTTGATGTATACATATATATACATATGTGTATATACCACAAAATTTTATATTCTCCTGCAAAGATTCGGTAGTCTCCAAAAGTTATAGGCCGATTGACTTAAAATTTTGTGAGATTGATGGTTCCTGAGAAGGTTTATTCGAAAAAATATATATTTTTTACAAAATAGAGTAGCGACTGAGCTAGCTTTATTTAAAAATTTATTTAGAAAAAAATACGAAAAAATCTCAGTAATAGCTCTTCTCAGTAGAAATTCCTTTTAAAGGAAGTGGATCGTTAATATTAATATTGGTGGCTTTTGGTGGGCACTGCGTAATACTATTCTGAGTTCAAATCCTGGTTCAGCCGACACCTAAATTTATATATATAAAATAAACTTTTTCATATGCGTTCGCCTTTTGACAGGGGCTGTTAAGCCCTCCGAGCGTATTTCTGACATGGAATAAGAGCTCCTCATGAAAAAACCATCATCCGTTCGGAAGCGGCTTTATATAAACTGTAAATGTCTCCATTTATTGGAAAAGCATCAAGACGTAAAACCACCGGCGGAAGGAGGAGCTGAAAACTCGTCCCACTAGCAGCAGCTCTATACTAGTTGTATACTAGTTGTATATATATATACTACTAATGGTACCTTTTAGTTGAAATTTCAGTTGTTAATTCCTCTATCTTTGAAAGAATGGGATCACAAACAGATTGCCGAAAATTAATTTGATTTGGACATAAAGCAAAGATTTTGCTTAGGTAAGTTCGCTTTACATTGTTATTATTGTGCGGCTGCGGAATCTGTTCTTATATGGTCAACTTTAATATGAATAAGAATTTAGATTACTTCGAGGTTTTTATATCTCGACTAGAGACTATAGACCATAAGTCTATCTAAGCACGTTCATCCAAGCAAACAATACTCTTTGTAAATCTTAATTACTTAAAATGGGTCCGCTTAAGTCTAATTGCTGCGTCTGTTCACCGGAGGTGTGGCTGCAAAAGGGCGTCGGTCTTGAAGCAAGCTGCTCCCTATATAAATGTCTAGTAAGAACTTACTCGCCTTGCGTGCTGAGTTTGGGACTCGCCACGTAGGAACCAGTTCCAATTAAAAAATTGACAAAACCTCTGCTAAAACACCCCTTTCTGTTGACGGCCCCGCAAACGAATTAAGAATCACGATTTGAGGGAATGCACTTAGAATGTTCGGTCCCTTAATTGAAAGCCGCTGTACAGCTGGTTGATGTCCTCGTAAGAATAACGCATCACTTCACTGCCTTCCAAGAGGAACGATGGGCGGGACAAGGACAAAAACGAGTAGGTTTTTGTGACATTTACTACAGCAGCCGTCGCCGAGTACTAGCATTCACCCCCGTTGGATGAAAATCTCGCGTCAACAAAGTGAAAATTTTCAACTAATCGTTGATTTGCGCCCACGCTCCGACAAAAGAAAAAAGACGATTTTATCAGGGAGCTTTTATGAGCGCCTAGATCATACTTTCGAGCGCTGTCCTCGGCACGACGTAAAAATCGTGATTGGCGATTTCAATGCCGAGGAGAAGGTATCTTTGGAAAATTCAGCTTTCACAACGAAACATACCTAATATGTTGAGGCTGATCGACTTCACCGGGTCCCGAAATATAGCTGTGTGTAGCACTAGATTCCAGCACAAGAAAATTCACTAAGCTACTTGGCTGCCCCTGATCGGAAAACACAAAACCAGATCGATGTCTCCAGCGTTCTTGACGTGCGTACTCTCCGATGAACCAACATCGACTTGGACCATTATCTTGTTGCAGCGAAGATGCGCATGCGGCTCTGTGTATCGAAGAGCGCCCGTCAACAGACACTAGGAAGGTTCGACGTCGACGTCTACAATCACAACAGACTACCGAACGGTTTTTTAATCGCCTTGCGCTCCTGCTCTATGAGAGCACTCATCAGCAACTCGGTATACGGGACCTGTGGAACGCCATTTCAAGCTCCCCACGTACGTAAAAACAGCCGGTACGATGAGGACTGCCGCGTCGCAGTGGACAGAGAATAGACTGCTTACCTCGTAATGATGCTATCGAAAACAACCGTTGTTAAAGCGGATGAGACAGATTATTATTTAACAGGATTTTTTAATTTTTTTTGACTTAGTGAGGGCCCTACCGCACACATTAAATTCTAAAATCAATTGAGTCTCTGCAACAGCACATGACTTTCACTCAAAAAATTACAGAAAGATTGTAAATTGAAATGAAGGCATTCTCATTCCCCGAATCCCTATCAATTCGTCTTAAACTTCATTTCTATTCAAGCGAATGCAGTTCCATTTTTTACTAGCACCCACAATCTCAGCAATGCTCAAAGTCCATCTATTAAACTACGTGGTCTATATTTATATTTGAGGTTGTATGTTCCAGGTTTAGCATCTGGTCTCTGGTGACCGGTAAGATCAAAAACCTAGTATACCCATAGGTATTGAGTAAACAAAATTATGATTCATTTTCCTACCTTCATTGGGTGTGTACCACAGTAATTTTGTTATATAAATCTAAGCTCAAATTAAGGAAGAGAAATTCAGAACAGAACCGAAACTTGCAAACGATGATTGTAGGGTGTTATAAGTCACCAACTGTGGTAAGGATGATAACACCCAAAACTATATCTTCCATTTAAACAAGCCGATCAAAGGCGTTCCATACGCCAGTTTCGAGAAGACGGCGTTGGTCAAAGATATTGAGTATCCACCCTTCAGCAAACGAAATCCGGCCGATAACAACGTTCTCTTCAATTTTAAATGAATCGGCTACGATGCGGCTTTGGTCCAACAACCATGTATAGCAACGGAAAACGAGGTATCTGGACTAAAGTCATCAATATATTTGTTTAAAGATGAAGCTGCACCAAAAAGGCACCGGATAATGGTGGAGGAGGATGATGAGACGAAAAGTTCCCTCTTCATGGACACGAAGGTGAACAACCAGCATGTGTTGAGTCGAAAGACATACATAGCTCTCGACACTAGTAAAGGAATGAGAGTAGAAAATTGGAAAATACTTAGTACACCTTCTCCATCTGACCATTAGTATGTCGGAAATAAAATCAAAATTTGAGAGTGTAGTGAGAAAGAATTTAAGAAATTATACGATAAGTGACTTGTATTTTGAATAGAGGAAATGCGCAGTCACACAGAGGAGTCAAAGTGCCGATGAAGAGTTTTTCTGTATGCACTACGAAGAAGTTTTTCCGAAATGCAAGCGGTAGCCGTGGAAAAGTTTGTGCGCCAAATAATAGACAACCTATGTAGCTAAGATAAGGATGGCTTTGAACCGTTTATGGTTAACTTATGTGTTCTGTTCTTTCTAGAGATGTGGAGATCATATTCACATCGAAGACGGACAACAGAAGCCCCCTCTATTCGAAAGAAGACAGACAAACTAGTCTTACCTTATTCCTGCTATAGACGCTTGCCTACATTAAGTATAAGACGCCATTGGCTAAATTATCAAAGGCGCAACACGCGTATATGAACTGTAGATCCGCTAACTCTGCAGAAAAAAATAGAAGGCAAACGCCCCAGAAGCAGCCCATTTAGGAGTGTGGCCTGAATAACAAGAATCCGCTGAGCCGCAAAAAGGCTAGGTTGCTACGTATAGCGCGTAAAAAAATCCTCGTGGTAGAACGCAGTCACGACTCCTCAGACTACTCTTATAGACTGAACTTCTCGGAAAGCATAAAATCGGATTGACATAGCTATAAGAGGAATAGTTGTAGGGGCTACATCAGCCAACTTACAATAGATGGTTTATGATGAGAAAACCGATGCGACACTGTTCAAAAGAAGGTACGAAATCCACGCATGGAAACTGCCGAGGCTCAATAGCGGGGCTACTGGTAAAGGATCATACCAGAGAGCTTCGTTAGACAGCAAACTGATATATATGCTTAATGTAGAGAAAGGGATGGTGGCCTCTTTCACCCCGGTCAATTTACGCATACCAAAAAACGATATGGTGTTGTATCGCAGCCAAAAAATATCTCGCATAAAAACCCATTGGACGATTAAAGTTGGTCTTTTCACTTTTGAGAGAAAGAGTGCATTGAACCACTTGAATGGCGGCACTTGAAAAGCTACTGGACCTACGCAAAATTAGAGTGGAAAAAAATTAGAAGCAACTTTTTTAATTTTTTATTCTCTTCCTTTAGCTCAGCCTCTTCCACTACTTACCTTGTCAGCATATTCGCCCGATTCACCGCCACCTCCGCCTCTACGCGAAACCGATCCTGAGCGTACCGATCCACGACGCCTTCGCCCAAATTCAACGACGTACCCGCCTCACAATTTGCCCCGAGTAAATGTTGCGTTTCGACAATTTGCAAAAATTTCGTCACGACATCACGACCGCGCATCAAATTCCGACGATTATTACGCGATATCTCGTCCCAATCGTAGATCTCATCTTCGTTCGCCGCATCGACAACGCCCGCAAGAAAACGACTTGTCTGATCGTCATCAACACCATCGGCGCCGCCGTCACCGCCACTGCCGCCGCCGTTATCCGTCTCATTATTGCCATCTTCGTCTACAACTAAATCAGCAGGATTGCTTACGGGAAAACCGTGCGCATTGCGATTATCCATATGACCATCGTCCATTGTTATATCGTCTGTGTTCTCAAGCACAACTTGCTCGAAATTAATCTCTTCCACATCGTACGCCTGCTGGCGGTCCACACCAGCAATGCCCCCAACGCTGGTGCTCGCCTGCTGATTGGGCTCGAGTGAAAAATTGGCAGCCGGCCAGCGGTAGTCTTCAGGGCTTGCCTCTTTACCTATTAGCGTTTGCAAGGTGCTTGGCGGTGCTTGTGAAATGGAGTGCTTTGAGGCATTTCTCAAGGTGCTGTCATCATATTCGGCGGTATCATTCGCAAGCTCTACGCCTTCAAACTGCGACACATCGATTATGTCGTGCAATTCGTTGGAGTCAATGAAGTCTGTGGGCAATGAAGTTGATTTCGATGGCTCTGTCTGACGCCGTTCCAACACATCTCTTTGCTTTGGTGCTACGTTCACACCGCCTCCTTGCCATTTCGGTGCCACGCTAATCGAGGTGCGGTTTTGTGTCTGATTCGCCAACATCTTCTCCACCGCAGCTTTTGATTGCGCAAAATCTTTCATTGCCACTGTTGGCAGCAAAATTAATTTGGTTGGTCTTGGGGACTTCGGTATGAGCTTTAACTTTGTTGTTGTTTTTCTAGTTGGTGACAACGTGGGTATACTTGAAGTTGTCCCCGCAAATGTGTCGTCATTTTGCATTTCTGTGCCTTGCGAATTCAAGTTTGAGCCCCCTAAGAGAGTCGCGTATGTTATCATTTCCGCAAAGTGCTCGCTGAGTTCCGCACTGCCGTCTGGTTTGATAGTCGTATATGTTGCTGCTGGCGTTGTTGTTGCAGTGTAATCATCGCCAACATCATCTAAGGAATTGACTGGCATATCTAATTCGTCTGCTAATTGCAAAACCTCATCCAGCTCAACATCAGTGTCTATATCATCATCCACACCACCCTCATCACCGTCACTAGTGTCTTCCATATCAGCCACTAACTCATTATCGCTTGACTCGGCATCTTCGCTGTCGTCTACAGCGCTGTTCTCTGCACTTTCACTCGCTGCATTCGCTACGCTCACATCTCGAGTGTTGCCTGAGTCATTAGCAACAACTTCACCACCTTCAACTTCATTGTTGATGGGTCTGCTGATGTTGTCAGGCTCGTCTTCAGCCTCCTCAACAAGCATTTCAGCAGCACTATCAGCATCACTGCTATCTGCTAGCTTGCCCTTTGTGTCCGCTACGTCATCAACTACACCTTTTTTATCCAGCTTCACTAATTCCACATCCATTGGCCTGCCTTGTAACTGTTCCGCTGTCATCAGGCTGCGATGATGACTTTTAGATAGTTTCACACCGAAACCGCCTCCACCAACACCACCGCCACTATTGCGTATGCTCTCCATTATTTTCTTCATATGCAATTTTCGTATGCGATGTGTAACAGGCGCTTCGGTAGTGACAACACCGTTAGGCCCTACATCTGGTGTCTCGGTGTGTGCGATATCTTTTCGTTTGGCGGGCGCACCGAAGTACGCTGCGGCAACTGAGTGAGACCTACTTAGTGGTTCAATTGCGGGTTTCAAGCGTCTCTTGGCACTGCCAACGAAAGAATTTATCAACGAGCCGTTCACATACGAATTTCGCCAATAATCACTGCCGAATAGTTCGCTGTTACCAGTCTGTATACTACTGACAGCCTCCTTATGATTCCAACTACCGTCCACACGTGTGTGAGTAGTACTCTTGTGTGCCGTAAAATTATACGTCGTAGCTTCTGCTGAATTGGGCATCAAGTCACCATCATAATCATCAGCAGAGAGCAAATGACTCTTCTTAACTGTAAGGGTGTTTGTGGTGTTCTTTCTCCCACTTTTCACACTGCTTCCACCTATTTCGCTATCTTCTCCATTTCCTCTCGCGCTCACATCTCCACCAACAACGCCGTCATTTCCGGCGTTCAAGTTTTGTGGTCGCATAGCCCAGAGCAGTTGCTCTTTCTCATTTGAGTGTCGCACTTTAGAGCGCCCATGACGTATATTGTAGGAGTCTGTGTGTTCAGCGCTTACCTCTGCTTCAGTAGACAAAGACGCGCTGCCATCAACGGCAACAACAATGGCATCCGCGTGCAAATTAGAACTGGTGTAGATATACGCGCAGACTATAAGCAAGACCATCGGCAGGTTGTGGAAGGCGGTAGACGACCTCATCTTCTGCTTCTGTGAAATTGATTTATTAATTTGAATTCCAGTTCTTCGATTCCCTTTTGCGTTTGGTTTTACGTATATATATATATATATATATATTTAGGAGCGGGTGTGAATTGATTGCTTAAATTAAAATGCTCAATTTGAAAATTCGCTTGCTCACGTTCAAATCCGCCAGAGTTTGTGGTGTGTCGGCAGGTGATGAAAGCCAAGTTATGTCTTTCTCTTCACCACCACTTCCTGGCTTCTTCTTCTTCTTCTACTTCCTCTTTCCTATCTGTACCCTCTCCGTCCACACTTTTGTCTATTTGTTCCCACACCTCAGTTGGCTTGCGAATGGGAACGATGGGAATGACTTTCCGCACAATCTCTTCTTCTTATTTTTAATGCGCACTTTCTTTTTTAATGTCTTTAATGGCACACTTAATTGGTGCAATAACAAAGGCAATAAGTGTTTAATTGCACTTGTCGCGGTCTCATCTGCGTATCGCATCGTCATCATTTCGCATTCGCAACGGCAGCAGCATCATCAGCATCGTCGAGGTTGGAATTGTCGCCGTTGGTGTTGTCGACGATTGTGCCAACAGTTTCGATACAATGTGATTAAATTGTGTTGATATTGTTGTTGGTTTCGCTGCCCGTGGTGCCCTCTCAGTGCTACTTTATGTAAATGAAATTGTGGATAATCAGTTGCCATATGTCAGTTCAACATGCACCACAGGGCGGTGGTAAAGAGCAGGAGAGTGAGGAGTAGGTGTTTCCACTTCAGGATCCGCTTGAGGGTTGTAGTGTTGTTGAATTGTCAGTTATGGCTCTGCGAAATAAAATAATATTGAGTTTAATTTTTATTATTAGGCATTTGACTTAACAACTGAGTTAATAAAATGTTATGGCTGAATTTTATTTAAACAATATTTAGGAATTAAATAAAAATTTAATGATAAAGATTTATAAAAGGCGACTGCGTAGGTATTTTTTATGAAAATATTCTTCACTTAAATGCTAAAAATAAAAATAGAAGATAGAAAATTCAAATTTCTCCTAAAGAAAATTGGCAACGCTGCACCGTGCTTTATATGCTAAAATTTGCTACTTCGCTCTCGAGGTTAAAAAACTGGAATAAGATATGTTACCGAATTAATAAAGGCAAGGGAGAGTAGAAGAAAATCGGTAACATTGCATTTCAACTGCCAGACAATGATATATAAAATCTTTCAAAAATTGTTAGAGAATAAAGCAAAACACTAAAGATCGGTTTGGTAAATTTTAATTTAATCCGAAATTTATTTGCCGAAACAAAAACTACTCAAAACAAGCGAATAGTATAAAAATAATAAGGTTGTCGTCGAAATCCAGGCGAGCATTGAAGCGAGTTAATGTTAAAAAATCATCCAAAAACTAAAAAAATTGGCTATGTGACTTAAAACATTACAAATGAGGGGTTTGAAAAAAGAAAATTGGCAACTTGTCAAGCAACGAAATGTTTCTGTGAAAATAAAACAACAAAGCTTCTGTGACAAAGATATTGTAAATGTAATTTTAAGTTGGAAATCTGATAAAAGGCTTACCAGACTTCAATGACATATTATCAATATGATGAAACTTGGCAACGCGGTACAACAAGCAACTAACACAATAATCAACTCTGCTTAATGTCATACCAAAAAATTAAAGAAAATTAGCTAACATTTCAAATTAAAAAATTATGAAAATTGTCAACGTTGCATTAACAATTAGAAACGTATATTTCTAAAAGCTGTATTAAATAAAACCGTTAAAAGCAATAATACTTTCCAGAAAAAAAAAATTTCTATAAATTGAGTCTAGAGGATGATGCAGAGAAATTAGCAACGTGGTAGGGAGTATTTTGATAGCACATAATAAATAGAGATAATTTCGAAACTTGCATAGTTTCAAGTGCTTATATTCAAAGAAATGAAAATTTGCAACATTGCACAGATTATTTGGAAACTATATTGGTAATTGTGCTTTATTATATATGAAACTCAAAAATATTGATTTCTAAAATTAAATTAAACTTGTTAGCTCAGCCAATATTTAAAAAAAAAGAAAATTGGCAACATTGTAAGAATTGCAATAAGTGAATATTGGAAATTAAGTTAGAGCTACTATTTTGTGTAACCACCCTTTACTTGAGTAATTAGGGAATACAACTTCGATTGTCGTTTAAGGTTTAAGTTAAGGCAAATATATTTTTGATGGTTGGTCATAGTCTAAGCTTATGAAGACTTGCGTAAGAAACGACAGAGAGAGAATCCTTAAAATGTGGGTATTTTAAATTCACTAAAGTGGAGCTTTGAAAACGCTGAAGCGATTTTGGCTGAACGCTTCCCCCGATTTTGGTATGCGTCTTGATATTTCCTTAACGACCTACAGTTTATACTAAGCTTCCTCCGTAGGACTCGCGTCCACTTTTTTTATTTTATGCCAGAAATATGCACTAAGGGGTTGACATTCCCAGCCGGGGGGTGACATCAATTAGAAAATTTAGCTTAATTTTTTATTTCAATTTATTTTCTATGACTTTTTTATGTTGGTCGAACCAGATCTCGATCCCTGGTTTACTAAATGGCAGTACTCTTCGCTCGTTACTCCAACTGCTAGCAGCGAAGAATTCATTGTTAGTATGCCTATCTCGGGTATTGAAAAGGTCTCTAGTAACTCCAACTGGTTGGACTGAGGACTCAGTGAATTCGGAAAAATATAAGGTCTTCCCAAAAAATTTTTCATTGTGTTGAACTAAATTTTCCGACAATTATGTATTATACTTAAGCTTCAAAAAACAATTTTTGGCATCAAATTCTAATTTTCTAATCTTGTGAAGAGTTTTCTGGAGAAGACACAGTCTGAATTCGTGAAACGATGGCGCTGATGGATGTCAATTTTATAGTTTAAATAACACATTTCTCCGACATTTTCAGTTTAAATGGAAGAAAACTTTATACTGAAGCTAAACCACTTAGATTTATATCCATCGAATATATAATATATTCTTCTTTCTATCACCGGCATCGTTTTCTAAGACTTATGAAAGTCGTGTTTTCTCGTCACGCTTCAAAGTACTGCCCGAATTTTTGAGCCTGCTTGACGCTCTAGCTTCTAAAATATTACGTATTGGCCACTGTAAGAACCATACAAACATATGGAAGTGGTGCACTGAACCTGCTTACTTGGTATGACAGTCGCGGTAAGGACGATTTTAAGAAGGACCTCACATTACATTAGGTCAGTTACTATGCAAGTAAAGAAGTATTAACAGCTTTACGAAAATATTTTAGACAATTGGGCACAGTTCCCAGAAAAAAAAAATTAAAAAAATTTAACCAAATTATATATATATCTAATCCCACCTAAGCAGGATGGTGCTGAACCACAAGCAAGGAAAGCCGAACGGAGCTGTAAATGTCTTTTGGTTACCATCAAGCCCAAATAATCAAACATAAGTTAATAAGTTTAACTAATTGTGAAACATAAAAAGTAAAAAAAAACCCTTTTAAATATAAAAGCAAAACATAATAATAATTCAAAAATTGTTCGCATGTTAACCTGTATTGAAAAGGTTTGTCTGCTTTTAAGTTAATATTTGTCCTTATTTTTTTCTTCATTTCAATTCATTTCCCATTATTTTAGGTCGAAAATAACAACCAACTGAGTCATGAATACAATTTAGGTCTCGCGCCTGGCAACCCTAAAACCTTGAAGTTGCTAAAACTTCACCATATATTTATTATTGTTGTTAATTTCCTTTGTTTGCCAAATTTGTTTTTTGTTTTTTGCTGTGTAAACACAAATATCTGCATGTCAAGAAATATGTCCACTTTTTTGTCTTTAACTAAACTTCGTATTGAAAAATATAGTAAATTTTTTAAAATTGTTTATAAATAGCAATGGTAATATAATTTCGCTTTTGATTCGTTAGTGCATGCAAACATAATATAAATTAGTAGCAATTTGACGTGGTCATTTTTTCATTAATTACATTAATCAACTAGAGTACTTGCCAGGTGTTGCAATGAAATACAATATTTATTGAGTTGGTGAAAAATACTCGAAATAAATGGAAAAAGTGTCCACAAATTCAATAGCTCAGGCTGTTTTTTGCTTTATTTAATATTAATTATCCAACCAAAAAAAAACTGTGCAATGTATTTTACTAAAAGTAAATATGTTACGTTATTTTATTTCCTTCTATAAAAAGTTTAGAGGATTTTTTTGCACTTTTAAATTTTTTTTTTTATTATATTTTCTCTTTATTAAATTTTAATTAATTTAATTTTTTTTGTTATTTTATTTTATTATTTTACGTTTTTTATTTTTTAAATTATCTTTAAATTTTTTATTATTTTATGTTGTTTTATTTTTTAAATTAATTTTATATTATTTAAATTTATTTTATTTTATTTTATTTTAATTTAATTTAATTTAATTTAATTTATTTTATTTTATTTTATTTTATTTTGTTTTATTTTATTTTATTTTATTTTATTTTATTTTATTTTATTTTATTTTATTTTATTTTATTTTATTTTATTTTATTTTATATTATTTTATATTAATTTATTTTATTCTATTTTATTTTATTTTATTTTTGTTCTATTTAACTGAAATTTGTTTCATTTTATTTTTTAATTTTTGTTATTTATACATTATTTTATTTCTTTTTACCATAAACGTCCAGTAAAATATGATGGCTTTCGATAGCACTTTTCTTCATGTTAAAGTAGTGAAGAAGAACTCCCTGCAATAACACTTTATCTGGTACAAATTTCGAAATTTTCAAATGAGTGAAACAAATCACTCGTTGTTAACGCTAAAACAAATGACGTCTACTGAAAACGACGAGAAACGGCAGTACCTTTGAAATGAATATAGCCACAGATGAACACGACGAGAAATAATACTAGTAGAGTGCTCTCTTAGAAAACCGCACAAATTAATGCACATACTTATATTTTTTTTTATTTCTAATTTTTTTTTTATTTAAATTTATTCCAATTTATTTGTTTTATTTTATTTTTATTATTTATTTTAATTTGTTTTTATTATATATCCTTTTTTCCTTTTGTTTTGCTTTTATATTTATTTATATTATTCACTTCAGTTTCAACTTAACTAACATTTTGTTTTTGGGTTTGAAAACAAGGTTCTTAGATTTTTTATTTCAAGTAAAATTTCTCAAAAATGTCTTATCGATATGAATGGAAAACTCAGTTTTCTCCATGAGCCTTAGTAATTTTCTTTCAGTGTGCGTATAACGTCTGCCACGCAAAAGTTTTCATATTCCTCCACGTTATGTCAATAAGTGGTACATATTTTTTGCTTCATCTTTAGCATATGTTACCACACTACCTTCCGTTAAAGCCGGAAGCGGATTGCCTATATGTGTGTCTGTGAGTTCAGGTGGGTGCAAAAGTTGGTGACACCAACAGCTTGACGTGGCGGAAATTGATGTGAGTGCAATTTTTGTGGAAAGAGTGGCAAATGTTAGGCTGTCAAATGATGCATAATGCTTCCCTGGTGCACTAACTTTCGAACAAGTGGTTTGTTGTTACTTCTGATGTTGTTGTTACCGATGGTTTTTGTAGTCACAGCGGATAATGAATCGAAACTACCACGTTGTCTGGTAGAGCTAAACTGCAAATTAGTTGCCAACCCAGTTGATATAGCCAAACAACCAATGCATGCATTAATAGAGGAGTTTACGCTGAGCACCGTGGGTACATGTTAAGATAATTCGTAAATGTTTTTATACACCCCCTCTTACTTTCAGTTTAATGTTAAATTTTAATTTTT